ATAGGACCCCTCGAAAGAAGTCCTACGTTTCTGATGGAGATAGTGATCATGAATATTTGGAATATCTGAAAACCCTGGACCCTTGTCAAGAGAATGATGATGCACAATTTGAAGAAAGACTAAAAAAATTTTTAGAACAGCTAGACAAGAGCCGCGTTGAAACTCAAGAAAGTGACAAATCCCCTCCACCTGAACTTGAACTTCTCCCCACCATCACAATGGATACCCCACTAACGAGTAATCCCTCCCCCACGCGAAAAAGGAGTATAGTCCGCTTTAAAGACATTCCCGAAGTTTTTGAAACACCTAACATCGATCATAACCTTGCCGCAAGTTTGCCATCATTCACTCCTGGCCGGGCAACAATCCCCGAAGCACACTCCACCCCATTTTTAAGGTTTTCAGATTACAATAAAGGAAAACAAGAGGAAAAGATGCGAAGAAAAACACAAATCACGCCCCGTAGATTAACCCCTATAAGTGAGTTCGGAAGTAAGACAAAAAGGAACCTATTAATGGACCTAAACCTTCCCTATTGTGATTCTTCCTCCTCCCCTGATTCCTCAGGTAATGAAGAAGATAACCCCAACAATTGTGCCCATTTAAACCCATCAAACATTTTACATCAATGGACAGAACCTTTAACTTACAAAAGAGATAATTACGCCCACTTTATTTCCGAAGACTGTGAACCCATTGACCCCATTGTGAAACTTTTAGTGGCAACCGAAAAGATCGATTTACAGGACATCAGAGACAGTAAACCAATTAAAGGACAGGTGTACGTCACTATCTGTGGACGTTATAAGGTATAGTCAATTATTGTGAAAAAGCGACATTTTGACGAAATCAATTGGAATGACGTAATCACTGGACTAACAAACTTGAGACATGCTATGACCTTAGACAATCAGAAACATTGCCGAATGGCCAATTCGGGTGACCTTCTAGGAGCACTCCCTCAAAATAAAATGACGGAGCTTTTAGCAGGAATATTCCGCGGTGGCGATGTAAATATCACACTATGCCACGGAAAAATCGAGGTACCACCCTTACAATTACGCCCCAAGATAATATCAGAATTCCATGGCATTCTGATTGGAGGGCATAAAGGCATAACTAAGACCTATAGAAGAATACGTGAGAGGTATTATTGGCCTAGAATGCGAGACGAAGTTAAAGAGTATATTCGCAAATGCATGAGTTGCTTTGAGAATAAACTCGCCAGGGCTCGAACTCGTGAACCTATGCTAATAACAGATACCCCTGCGCAACCCTTTGACAAGGTGTCCCTAGATACCGTGGGAAAACTTCGAACTACTCCTAACGGCAATAGACACATACTAACAATGCAGGACAATTTCAGCAAATATTGCATTGCGGTCCCCATTCCAGACATAAAAACAACCACCATTGCCCATGCCATAGCAGCAAACCTCTTTTCTGTATATGGAGCGCCTCGATGCGTCCTCACAGATAGAGGAGGTAGCTTTATAAGCTCCCTAATGCGGAAACTTGAAAGCATCTTTGGGGTAAAACAACTTACGACTTCCGGATACCGCCCTCAAACTAACGGAGCGTTGGAAAGAAGCCATATTGAATTGACGGATTATATTAAGCACTACGCTCAAGATTTTGACGATTGGGATCGTCTACTTCCTTTTGCAATGCTCAATTATAACACGTCGGTTCATGAAGCTACTAACCTGACCCCATTCGAGTTAGTTTTTGGACGATTAGCCCGGATCCCTTCCTCCCTACCACTTGGACCAGAATTAGAAACCTATGGTTCATACCTAAAGGACCTCGTGGTCCGATTGCACGAACTTCAGAATCTGGCAGCCGACAAGCTTAAAGGAGCAAAGCAACGCTCCGAAGAATTTTATGACCGAAAATCAAGACCATCGAAGGTCAAGGTTGGCGACCAAGTCTATACCTATAAAGAGGTTAGGACGAACAAGTTCAACAATCGAGCTAATGGTCCGTACACTGTTGTAGGGTTGACCCAAAACAATAATGTCATTTTAGAAGATGACAATGGCGTAAGATTCGCCAAACACAAAGACAAGGTGATGGTTACCTATCTATAACTGTCACCTTCACAAAAAAATTTGCTATTAACATACATTCAATATTTTTTTTTGTATAAAAAAACAAAGATGTACTTGGCACATTGCTTAATCGTTTTGCACCTCTCTAACTCAATTATCGTGAAGGCGCAGATCAATCCAGTTCCAATAGGACCAATTGACGGCCCCGGATACCAGATCACCCCACTCGACATAAGTAGTGGGATATATTACGAATATTCGGGAGAAGTAAAAAGGTCAGTCAGTAATTGGAGGATCAGCATCTTCCTGGACATCGGCAAACAAGTGAGGCATTTCGAGGATTTGAATTACAAATTGAACAACGTGAAGCAGCAATGCTTTCCAAAAGAAGAATGGTGCGAAGTCCGAATCGAATCATTTCCCTGGGAAGACCAATGGGAGATAGCTGCAGATCTTCAACGAGAACTTCAGCGGCAAATAGAAGAACTAGGAAGAACACGCCAGAATCTTCCTATATTAGTATCATCACAATTTCGAGCTCGGCGCAGTGTTCCCCTTTTTGGATTCCTTGGAAAGATTGCAGGACCCATAGCTGGTGTACTAAACTACGAAGATGGTGAACATTACGAAGCAGTCATGCAAGAGTTGAATGAAGGACAAGCAAACTTATCACATCTTGTTGGAAAACAGACACATGTGGTTAGGTCTCAATTAGAAAGTCTGAATAGTCAGGTGCAACATCACGACGAAGTCTTGCAGGAACTACACCAATCTTTCGATACCCTGAATAAGGAACTAAATGGACAATTTAAACATTCTGAATTCCAAGAATACTCCAAACCCCTGGACAAAACACTGGCTGCCATAAAATTAGGACTTGATCACAACATCCGAACGACGACAACAATGCTAGACGCAGTTCACGATGCTAGAAGAGGACAACTTCATCCTGGAATTTTATCTTCAGAACAATTGGGACCTATCCTTAACGACATTAGAAATAACGCCACTGATGTTATTTTCCCCATACCTGGACCCAAGGTTAGCGTTGATGAATTAATTCAAGTAGCCACAGCCAGTATTCTATGCGAGGACCACAAAATCAAAATTTTGATAGATAGACATTCCTCTCCTGGAACAAGATAAATATGCAGCATTCAAACTACATCCACTGCCGACCCTTCAAGGTGAACTTGGAAATGGATCCGCCAGGGCATACGCGAATCCTGCATACGACTACTTAATCGTTGACAAAGAGCAAAGAACCTATCTCTTGCTCAAAAATGAAGATTGGGAAAATTGTAGAACAACGACATCGTTTCATGCATGTCTGAAAGGATCACCCATTTATGACCTTCAGAATAGACCAATCTGTGAGGTATCGCTGATGACCAATCCCACGGACGAAGTACTAAGATCCTGTGATATCAGAATTACCTCAAGTTTGGTATCTTTTTGGAAACCTTTGCGGACCTTAGCAGCCTGGCTTTATTCCTTGGCCAAGTCGGAAGTATTACTAATAATCTGCCACTCCGCTTATCCGATTAAGATAAATATCTCTGGTACTGGGATAATAAGGTTGGCCCCAGGATGTTCAGCAAAAACAAAAGATATAACTATCCCAGCAACAGCAACTCAGGTAGGCCAAACGGAAATCTTATACGAACCCGAGTTACACCTGGATTTAAAACGGATTTCAAGTGTATTTTCTACCTATTCCCATTTAACGACTACGATGGAAGTTGAAGAGAGCAGCCGAACAAAATCAAGGATTCACAGTTTCGAGACCAACTCCAAAACTCTAGAAGAATTGGAACAAAAATTAGAGGATTTTGCAATGCAACGTAAATGGAAGTGCCATCAGTCCATACTTGTATATGGATCATACGTCAGTGAATTTGGAACAAGGAGCAGAATTCCTGGAGATGACCTCAACAGCCAACGAACCTGTGACACGCCGGCAAACATCAACTCCAGAGACACCTGAGAATCCTATATCAACAACCCGATCCTGACAATTAAATTTCGAAGACTTCAGGATCCAAAAAAAAACATCATCAACATCGGCCAACAGCGTCAATTTATCAGCAAAGAACTACTTGAAAAGGGTAATTGTATTGCCCATACAAAAACTTCAACCAGTCTAGTTGACAAACAAAAGAGCGCGCTATGTACGCATTATACCCATATATATATAACTAAAGTTTTTTTTTTGCTCTTTAATTTTTTTTTATTTGTTTAGTATTGCCTTCTTTTTATTATTATTTTTGCATGAAAACCTACGATCGATTTCTCCAGTCAATTTCAGCACCGTCGGGACAGGTCCTAGCACATTCTCATGTAAAAGAACAGAGAACTCTTGTAGAGGGAGGCTTACGTGGTCTGACCGCCGAACTGCCACTTGGGCCGCCCTCAATAATTTGCCAGACATCCTTTCCTACCACGTTGTCAAAGGACTGGGTGCAGATGTGCTCTAATGAGACATCATCACCTGTCCAATGAGTTATGGGAGTTTTGGGTCAGTGCCTGGTTGACGGAGAGGCCGATCGTGGAAAGCTTTGTAAAGGTAAATAATAGTGTTGGCGGGTGAACTCCACCCGATATTATTATAATTATTGTCGCCATTAATTTTAAAGGAATAGAGAGAATAGAATAATTTTACCTACCTCGTATCGAAGCTTCAAAACGTTGAAAGTTCCCTCCCCTCTAAGTTCCTAACAAAAACTATGCTTCAAAAAAGAAGAAATTTAAAGTTATAGCATGAACAGTTAAAATTGATTTTAATCAATCCTAAACTAAATTGTTTTTATTATACAGAAGGGAACCAGTGTCGCTGGTGGCTCTGAAATTGATATAAAAAAAGAAAAAAAGAGAAAAGGGAGATAAAATCAAAAGGGTAAGCATTTATAATTAATTTTATTTTATTTAAAAAAAACAAAAGGGGAACATATATGATTACAAGAAATAAGATTAAAAGGGGTAGTTATTTAATTAATTTAAAAAAAAATGAGAGAAAATATATATATATAAAAAAAGGGGGGGAGTAGTAACACGCGCGAACGGGGAGAAAGGGACGTGTTTCCTGGCCTAGGGGAGACAGCCTATGTGACCAGCCCCAATAAGTGACCCTCCGGGCCAATCGCCTGCCACACGCCGTCCATCGGGACTCGGATTTTCTAAAAAAAAAAAAAAAAAAAAAGAAGAGAATGAAATTTCTTCTGCGTCGCCCCCCCTCTAAATTCATACATCTATTCTTATACCTACCAATTGCCATCCGGAACCAACCCTTTCTTGGCCCTCTCTGGTCCAGTAAAAACGCTGGACAAAAGAGAGGACAAACGTGCGGTTGATTGGCTGGAACCCGACCTTCGGTGGCACCAGCGGCAAAGAACGGAATCCCCTTAAAAAAAAAACCAAAACAAACAAACTCACCACATAATGTGACTCCTGTCAGCAACCCACCAGCCCTGAAGAACGGGGAAATCCCCCGCAGCCTCTTTTACCACTGATGGATCAGCAAATTTAGGCTAAAAAAAAATATATATATATATAAATAAATAAGATTCAAATAAATAAAAAGGGAAAAGAAGTGAAAATCTACTCACAGTCGACCAGAAACCACGACAGACGTATCCCCGGGTACTCTCGCACCAACGGTACTCCTGGTGCCATTGGCTGCGAGAGTATTGCTTTCTGGGGCCACTGCTCCGCATGGCCGGGTCCAGTCGCCATAGCGTCTGGTCATCATGACGAATAGGCGCCCGCCCCCAGTCGCTAAACTCCACCAGAAACCTTTTATTAAAGAATGTACATTTTGGGAGATAATTTTTACATCCATTAGAAGATAATTTTTGAGATCTATTGTAAAATTATTATTTTCAAAGTACTATTGCGAAAATTTAATTTTGACAGATTTTATTGCAAAATTATAATTATTCAAAATTCCATTATAAAATGTAATTTCTTTTAAAATTGTATTATAAATTTATAATTTCTCTAAAATTATAAATTTGAAATCTATTATAAAATTATTATTTTCAAGGTACTATTGTGAAAATTTACTTTTGACAGATTTTATTGCAAAATTATAATAATTCAAAATTCCATTATAAAATGTAATTTCTTTTAAAATTCTATTATAAATTTATAATTTCTCTAAATTATAATTTTGAAATCTATTGTAAAATTATTATTTTCAAGGTACTATTGTGAAAATTTAATTTTGACAGATTTTATTGCAAAATTATAATAATTCAAAATTCCATTATAAAATGTAATTTCTGTTAAAATTCTATTATAAATTTATAATTTCTCTAAATTATAATTTTGAAATCTATTGTAAAATTATTATTTTCAAAGTACTATTGTGAAAGTTTAATTTTGACAGATTTTATTGCAAAATTATAATAATTCAAAATTCCATTATAAAATGTAATTTCTTTTAAAATTGTATTATAAATTTATAATTTCTCTAAAATTATAAATTTGAAATCTATTATAAAATTATTATTTTCAAGGTACTATTGTGAAAATTTACTTTTGACAGATTTTATTGCAAAATTATAATAATTCAAAATTCCATTATAAAATGTAATTTCTTTTAAAATTCTATTATAAATTTATAATTTCTCTAAATTATAATTTTGAAATCTATTGTAAAATTATTATTTTCAAGGTACTATTGTGAAAATTTAATTTTGACAGATTTTATTGCAAAATTATAATAATTCAAAATTCCATTATAAAATGTAATTTCTGTTAAAATTCTATTATAAATTTATAATTTCTCTAAATTATAATTTTGAAATCTATTGTAAAATTATTATTTTCAAAGTACTATTGTGAAAGTTTAATTTTGACAGATTTTATTGCAAAATTATAATAATTCAAAATTCCATTATAAAATGTAATTTCTTTTAAAATTGTATTATAAATTTATAATTTCTCTAAAATTATAAATTTGAAATCTATTATAAAATTATTATTTTCAAGGTACTATTGTGAAAATTTACTTTTGACAGATTTTATTGCAAAATTATAATAATTCAAAATTCCATTATAAAATGTAATTTCTTTTAAAATTCTATTATAAATTTATAATTTCTCTAAATTATAATTTTGAAATCTATTGTAAAATTATTATTTTCAAGGTACTATTGTGAAAATTTAATTTTGACAGATTTTATTGCAAAATTATAATAATTCAAAATTCCATTATAAAATGTAATTTCTGTTAAAATTCTATTATAAATTTATAATTTCTCTAAATTATAATTTTGAAATCTATTGTAAAATTATTATTTTCAAAGTACTATTGTGAAAGTTTAATTTTGACAGATTTTATTGCAAAATTATAATAATTCAAAATTCCATTATAAAATGTAATTTCTTTTAAAATTGTATTATAAATTTATAATTTCTCTAAAATTATAAATTTGAAATCTATTATAAAATTATTATTTTCAAGGTACTATTGTGAAAATTTACTTTTGACAGATTTTATTGCAAAATTATAATAATTCAAAATTCCATTATAAAATATAATTTCTTTTAAAATTCTATTATAAATTTATAATTTCTCTAAATTATAATTTTGAAATCTATTGTAAAATTATTATTTTCAAGGTACTATTGTGAAAATTTAATTTTGACAGATTTTATTGCAAAATTATAATAATTCAAAATTCCATTATAAAATGTAATTTCTGTTAAAATTCTATTATAAATTTATAATTTCTCTAAATTATAATTTTAAAATCTATTGTAAAATTATTATTTTCAAAATACTATTGTGAAAGTTTAATTTTGACAGATTTTATTGCAAAATTATAATAATTCAAAATTCCATTATAAAATGTAATTTCTTTTAAAATTGTATTATAAATTTATAATTTCTCTAAAATTATAAATTTGAAATCTATTATAAAATTATTATTTTCAAGGTACTATTGTGAAAATTTACTTTTGACAGATTTTATTGCAAAATTATAATAATTCAAAATTCCATTATAAAATGTAATTTCTTTTAAAATTCTATTATAAATTTATAATTTCTCTAAATTATAATTTTGAAATCTATTGTAAAATTATTATTTTCAAGGTACTATTGTGAAAATTTAATTTTGACAGATTTTATTGCAAAATTATAATAATTCAAAATTCCATTATAAAATGTAATTTCTGTTAAAATTCTATTATAAATTTATAATTTCTCTAAATTATAATTTTGAAATCTATTGTAAAATTATTATTTTCAAAGTACTATTGTGAAAGTTTAATTTTGACAGATTTTATTGCAAAATTATAATAATTCAAAATTCCATTATAAAATGTAATTTCTTTTAAAATTGTATTATAAATTTATAATTTCTCTAAAATTATAAATTTGAAATCTATTATAAAATTATTATTTTCAAGGTACTATTGTGAAAATTTACTTTTGACAGATTTTATTGCAAAATTATAATAATTCAAAATTCCATTATAAAATGTAATTTCTTTTAAAATTCTATTATAAATTTATAATTTCTCTAAATTATAATTTTGAAATCTATTGTAAAATTATTATTTTCAAGGTACTATTGTGAAAATTTAATTTTGACAGATTTTATTGCAAAATTATAATAATTCAAAATTCCATTATAAAATGTAATTTCTGTTAAAATTCTATTATAAATTTATAATTTCTCTAAATTATAATTTTGAAATCTATTGTAAAATTATTATTTTCAAAGTACTATTGTGAAAGTTTAATTTTGACAGATTTTATTGCAAAATTATAATAATTCAAAATTCCATTATAAAATGTAATTTCTTTTAAAATTGTATTATAAATTTATAATTTCTCTAAAATTATAAATTTGAAATCTATTATAAAATTATTATTTTCAAGGTACTATTGTGAAAATTTACTTTTGACAGATTTTATTGCAAAATTATAATAATTCAAAATTCCATTATAAAATGTAATTTCTTTTAAAATTCTATTATAAATTTATAATTTCTCTAAATTATAATTTTGAAATCTATTGTAAAATTATTATTTTCAAGGTACTATTGTGAAAATTTAATTTTGACAGATTTTATTGCAAAATTATAATAATTCAAAATTCCATTATAAAATGTAATTTCTGTTAAAATTCTATTATAAATTTATAATTTCTCTAAATTATAATTTTGAAATCTATTGTAAAATTATTATTTTCAAAGTACTATTGTGAAAGTTTAATTTTGACAGATTTTATTGCAAAATTATAATAATTCAAAATTCCATTATAAAATGTAATTTCTTTTAAAATTGTATTATAAATTTATAATTTCTCTAAATTATAATTTTGAAATCTATTGTAAAAAAATTATTATTTTCAAAGTACTATTGTGAAGATTTAATTTTGACTGATTTTATTGCAAAATTATAATTATTCAAAATTCCATTATAAAATGTAATTTCTTTTAAAATTGTATTATAAATTTATAATTTCCCTAAATTATAATTTTGAAATCTATTGTAAAAAAAAATTATTATTTTCAAAGTACTATTGTGAAGATTTAATTTTGACTGATTTTATTGCAAAATTATAATTATTCAAAATTCCATTATAAAATGTAATTTCTTTTAAAATTGTATTATAAATTTATAATTTCTCTAAATTATAATTTTGAAATCTTTTGTAAAATTATTATTTTCAAAGTACTACTGTGAAAATTTAATTTCTAGACAGATTTTATTGCAAAATTGTAATTATTCAAAATTCCATTATAAAATATAATTGTTTTTAAAATTCTATTATAAATTTATAATTTTTCTAAATTATAATTTTCGAATTTTATTATAACATATAGTTTCTTTTAAAATTCTATAATTTTTCTAATGTCATTAAGATTATAATTTTCAAATTTTGATATGGAATTATTATACTTTATTATTTAATGTATATATGTAATCGACTTACCCCCTTTTTCCTCCAATTTTCCCTAAAAAGTTGTAAAGCTTGATACACGCCGCAATTTTTTTATGTGTCCCTCTTCTTCCTCATCCGGAGCACGTTCCTCTTCCTCTGGGTCAGTTGCCGGTTTCATATTTTTCATCCTTTCAAGTTGGTTCTACAATGGATTTGTTCGCACGTAGACGTTTGACGCGACGTGTCGTGCCGCGCTTGTGCTGCCATCCGAAACTTGCTTGCAAGTAATTGTTGCCAACTGCTTCACCTTTCAGCAGAATTTATGTCAGTGAAAGAAGAATGTTAAAATCAATTAATTGTAAATAAAAACGTTAAGTGACAATTGCAATATAATTTATTTTTAATTTTACTATTGACAGTGTAATTTAATTTATTGGCAGCGAAATGTGTTTTGAATTTTGATTGGAGAAATGTAAGATCTTATATTGTATGTGTTAATATTATTATGTATTTTTTAATATAAATAAATAAATAAATTCAATTCTTAAAGCATTGATAATGAATTTTATTAGTAAATAATTTATTCATTAAAATTGTTTATTTGTTTTCTTATTGCCACTTTCATTATCAGTAATATGTTTTCAAAGAGCATAACATTTCATAATATTTGTGTCATATTACATAATAACAGCATAATTAGCTAAAAAATTCTAAAATATTTTTTTCAACCAAATCATGATAATGCATAATCTATCTATCCATATTTATGCACTATTATGCCCAAGTATTTTCGATTAAAATAAATAAATTTTTTTTGTTGCTTTGTAAGACTTCGATTAATTGTAACTCTAAAGTAAGTAAAATATAAAATAAAATTTGTGTCCTTTTTATAATGTATACTGTGTAGGCTTTAATATGTATTATGTTATTTTATTGCTTTTGTATTATGTTTCAGTTTTAACGTTTGAATATATCAGAGCGAACATTAAATCATAGTAAAACTAATTGGAGACAATGACTGAATATTTAAACTCAATGAAAAATTAGTTTTTTAACGCAATTATGAAGCACTTAATTTGTTAATGATTTTATATAGTTTATTTAGCCAATTTTTCTTTAATTCAATTTTTTAAAGTTTCATTGTCTTGAATTTTCATTGACATTTAAATTTTTGAAAACTTTCATGAAATGTATCATTTGTAAGAAAGTTATGAAAAATTTTCAAAATTTATTCCTTACTTTATTACATTTTATATATTCTAGGTAAAATTTTCATTAATTTTGTTAGAGTAGACCATTTTTTTTCAAATTGTACAAATAAATAATAATATGTATTCTTTTATTCACTTTCAGAATCACAATTATAAAAAAATTGAAGTCAAAATTTAAATTTTTTAAATTTAACGTTTATAGACAAGAATTTTTAAAACTGGTTTTTCTCTATTATATAAAAAAATAATATACTATATAAAAATTCTTCATTTTTTTCTTAAATATTAAGTAGTATAATTGTAGAAAAGTTTCTTATTTATTAGTAACTACAATAGAAGAGTCAAATTGATTACATACTTGAGAAAAGCAACTGATTAGACTTAATTTTTTACTAAAATATTTGTAAGTTTTATATTGATATTATCAACTGTAAAATTATCCATATATGGAATATAATTTTATGTGAAAAGAAAATTCTTAGAAGCCTGCTATTGAAAGTTTCACATCTAATTCAAGTCAAAGGTGCTGGCACCTAGAAATTTCGTATTTTACAGTAAAAACCATTGATTTTACAACAAAAATTAAAACTAGTGCCGCATAATTTAAAAAGAATTATCATTTTAATATTGTATTTTAATAAAAACTAAATTTTTCGTAAACTAAAAAACCACCTCACTCCGGTTCTATGTTTTTTAATTATAAAAAATTTTTTAGTTTTAAACTTTTGGCCGCTTGCGATGCACACTATCGATTCACGTGGATTGACATTGGTGATTACGGTAATATAATTTTCTTAATCAATGTTTTTACTTAATTAGTTTTTGTTGTTAATTTTTAAATTACTGAAATGAAATTTTAGGATCCGTAAGCGATGTGCCAGCATTCAATCATACCGATTTTTTCGTCGCCCTCGAAAATAATGAATTGGATTTGCCACCTGCTGACCCAATACCAGGAACAAATATTGCAGTTCCATATGCCTTTATTGGTGATGCAATATTTCCCTTCAAAAGGTACCTAATGAAACCTTTTGATAGAAACCGCAGATTGACTCAGAGGTAAAGAAACTTTAATTACAGGTAAACGAGAAAAAAAATATTATTTTTATAATTCTATTGCATATAAAGTAGCAGAGAGCATTTCTCGTTTTGTCAATTACTTAAAAAAGCGAGGAAAATAGCTGAGCATTTAGTTTTACCATAATAAATTAAGAATTAATTAAAAAATAGTGATGAAATCGTGAATTCAATTGAAAAAATTGCCTTACTACAATTGATGTTATTAATAATTATGCAGAATAGCAAATTGACTCATTAAATTTAAATTACTCAAAATTTGTCCCCTAATTCAAATGAGATTATACTTATATTATATTTAATGTACAATGCTTTTGTAAATTTTTTCTAAATTTTTATTTATTTACCTTTGAAATTGAAAGTTTTAGGTGAGATACACTGAATATTAAAATGTCCAAATTTTAAGAATTTTTTATTTTTATCAAGAGGAAGATAATATGTAAAATCTGATTTCTTAATATATCTGTTAAAACTTATTTTTTAAATTGAATATTATTTAATATAAAGTACTGTTCGATGTACTTTTATATGATATATAATGACTATTTTATCATATACTGAAGAAATATGAAATATTTTTCCTTCTATGAAGAAATCGGAAAATGACCAGTATTTTTAAAAATAACAAAATAAAACAGGAAAATCACAAAACTTTTTTATCTGTTTTAAAAAATAAATTTCTAACAATTTTTTCAATATTTAAAATATTCTTTTTGATATTAACGAGCTTTAGTATTGGAAATTAGCAATTTTTATTATTGCTCAACTTGAAAAGCTCTGTTTTAAAGATAAATTTAAATTGTATTTCATAAATATATATTCACTAAAATATGTTTTTACTGTCTAATGAAGTGCAAGGATTTTTTTAAAATAGTAGTACTTAATGACTAAATAAACTAAATATTGAAGGACCTACTAGAATAATATGTAATGCTTATTTCCATTTGATTTAGAATAGCCAGGGCAAGGAACACAATTGAGGATTCATTCGGTTTACTCACTAATAAGTGGGCTATTTTACAAACCAGAATGGATTTTAAATTGGAACATTCGGTCACAATTGTTCAGGCTTTGGTGTGCTTGCATAATTTTCTATTAACAAATGAACTATTGTTAAATGAAGCAGATTGAAGATATGCGGTATTTCAAGGTCCACAAAATGAACAATTGGAGAACAATTGGAACGAGGAAAATAATGTTGATTTTCATGGTGATGCTTTTCAACAAAGGGACATTCTAGCAGATTATTTTAATTCAGAGGAAGGTGCTATAAGATAAAAACAGGAGAAACACTCACTGTTTTTGATATTTTTTTTATTTTTCAGTATTTTTATTATAAATATTTTATTCTAATTTTCTACTTTTTAAATTCGTAATTTTACTATCAAGATGCTCCAAGTTTGAGTGCAGTTGACACATATACATTTATTTAAAAATTTTAATCTTCTATATAAAATTTTTATTCTTAATTTTATCATTTTAAAATCTTATTCAGACACTTACAAAAATCCGCTATAACAAGTTAAAGTCCAATTCATTACAATTATCTCAATATTTTGACACTTACTTATTTCAATCATTCAGTCTTTTTCAATTTCTAATTTTATTATTATTATTATATAAATATCTTAAACATATGTGTTAAAATATTTTTAAATTATTTATTTTTAATTTTTTGACTGAGATTTTTTAATTCCAGTCAATTCATTCTTTGAACAAAAAATGTAAAGTATTAATAAATTTGGATAAAATGAAATACTACGACAATGAAAAATAGCTTAAAGTTGTAAAAAGTCACACTATTAAAATCGTCGACTGTCCATTCTTTAAAAATTATTAACTGACGAGAAAACAATTACTTCTTTTTATCTAAAAATGAATTGAGAATTTATTATTTACGTTTTTCTTCTTCAAATGATTCCATTACATCAAGAATTTCAGGAAGTATTTCCCTTTGACCTGCCAGGGGAAGGAGTATAAATTCTCTTTTTATTAAACTGAAAAATCCATCAGTTTCTTTAATATTCAAGTCGTTTCTTTTCTTGCCAGTATTATTTTTATCATCATTTTTACTTAAAGATCTTTTCCAATCTATGTAGTTCGATACTTTATTTGTTTCTTGATTCAGATTTGAATTTATAGTTTTCATTGAATCTGAAATTTCTTCATATAATAAATCGTCCTTTTTCTTTTTTCGTAAAGCAAAACCGTCCCAAGGTGGGACAGTTTTCGTTGTTTCTTTCCTTGGAGTAACTGACGGAGAAGGTAATTGTTTTTTACCCAGTATTTTTCTTTTTGTTCTCTCATTGGTATTAGAAAGCATTGATGTTGAAAATTGTGGAGATGTTATACGTTCCTTAATAGATGCAGATGATGCCGAATTACATTTGGTCATGGAAAGCAAAGATGATGGTATTTGTATAGAATCAAATTGAAAATTAGGAACCAAAGGTGAACACGAAGACAATGGTTCTAAAATCGGAGAAGTTGGTGAAGAAATATTCACAAAAGTTTTTGATGAAGGTGATACGGTTGAGAGAATTGAATCTTTAGTAGCGAATGTTGATGAATGTGTTGATGGTATATTTAAATTGTCAGCGAATAAAGTGGAATCAGAAGCAGCAGATGTAGTAGTAACCTTTTGTGAAAAGCAGGACTGTTGTAGTAATGTATTTAATGTTGAAGGCATTATCAAAGCAGTTTTTTCTAAAACACTAGTGCCAGATGTGTTAAAAACCCTTGGTGAAAAACTGGACTCGGGATTTGATGAAAGTGCTTGAAACTCATCACCTTGAACAAGAATTTCTGTTCCGCTTATACTGTCCTCCATGCCAAATAATTCAATTGAATTCTGATCTGTAATCGCTGATGTAGACGGAATAATTTCTATTAGTGAGGAATGAACCACCGATTTAAAGTTCTTACCACTCGTTGTTCTGAAATAAGAAAATTTATATGAATATACTTATTTATTTTACAAAATTTGTATAAAATTGAGAAATATAAATATTTTATGTAAATTACTGTTTGTCATGAACATATGGATTTAGAAAATCCATATGGTTATAGTACGACCATTTTCGACATTTCTTCTTATGTAATCTAACATACTTCTCCCGCAGTTGAGACCATTTCTCTTTAGGGCCTATTGAGAAAAATGCATTATTTAAACAAAAAATCAATATAACATTCTTGTATTCATGAAATGAAACATAAAATTTACTTTAATTTCCAATTGTGTACAAAATTAATATTAAAAATGACAAATAAAAGCAACATTGCATACCTATGCCTAAGTGAATTCCTTTTTCTAATAAAAACGTGTGTAATTTATCCCACTTTTCTTCCCTCTTCTTCGGATTAGTCAACTTTTTTTCTGGAATATATACCCATTCTAATTGTTTTATAATACTGATAAGTTTACAATTACTTTATCTTCTAGTTCATCTTCCTCAAAATTCATTTTCACATTTAGTTAGTCCACATAAAAAACTGAAATTTCTTTTCAACGGTTGGATGGTTTTCGCTTCACTCATCCTTTTAACAAACACGCTGAATTTGAAAATTTAATAAAGGCGCAAAGATGTATACACATAACCTAAAAATTTCAAAGCAACAAAATCATAAAGGTCCATTCATAATTCTGATATTCTGACAAAGTTAAGTGTGAAATCTTATGTGTCCAAAAAGCAGAAAACAAAGTGAGTAAAAGAAACATAGATACAACCTACTCGACTGTCTCTCTCTCTCTCTCTCTCTGCTTTCAAGTAATGCATATCAACTGGCCATAATGAATATTGGGATCTCTTGTGGGGCGTGGCTTAATCATTTAACCTCCACTCAGTGGTACCATTTTTCGACACCACGTTAAAAACCTACGCTGATTGGTGGAAGTTGGACAAAATTAGACAAAACGACCTACTCTCGAGGGTTACAAAAATTTTCACCAGAGAGCGTCTTACAGTACAAGAGATCCCAATACAATATATTCTCTTCCTTTCTGCAGTGATCAAGTATTTTATGCTTATTGTGAGTTCTCGAAAAGTTTGTTATTAAATCTTTCTTTTGTTTAAAACTTTGGTTAATATCATTAAAAAAACAATGGATGCAGTTGACGAAAATGAAATACTGATTCACATAGTATCAGACTATAAATGCATTTATGACAAATCGTCAGAAACTTATAAAGATAATGTTCTAAAGAAAAATGCTTGGATGGCAATCGCAGACAGAGTAAGCGCAATAACGGAAATTGAAATGGATGGTATGTTTGTTAACTAAGAAGACATATTTAAATATTAAAAAACATTTATCATGTACAAGTTATATGTATATGCTTATACAGATAACTTATAAAATACGAAGGAAACAAGTTATTGTAACAAAAATTCATGAATTACGCATAAACGAATAGTTCTTCATAAGAATATTTCTTCTTCAAGTGATAATTTCTTGTTTTTAAATAAGATAGGAACATTTTTTTCTTCAATTCTGCTGGTCATTAAAAATGAAAATGAAATTATTACAAAGAAAATTTAATAAATTAATTAATTAATTTTACTGTTGAATTAATGAATTGAATGATAACAATTTGAATTTTAAAAAGTTGTTTTAAAAAAATGACAAATTAAGTGTTTTAAATGAGTTTACTTGATTTTTTTTAAAAAAAAATTTCAATTTCTGTAAATTAGACCTTGACCCGTTATTTTATGATATCCTTCAAATAAAGTATAACAAAAATAATAACTGTATTTTCTACACATTTCTTTAATTACAACTGGTTTTGAAATACAATTTTTTAATAATATAATGTATTTATATTTACACAGATACTAAAGCGAAAAATTTATGGAAACGTTTAAAAGAAAAATATACAGATGAACGAAGAAAGATTGTGACATATGTTCCGTCAGGCTCAGGTGCTACTGAAAAAACAAGTGACTGGACTTATTACAATTCCATGCATTTCATTAAAATTTACGTGGATCACATCAAGTAAATGTTGAATTGTTTTATGTCAAAAATATTTTATCAATACGTTATTCCTCTTTTTCAACTGTTAAAAATTTATATATTTTTTAAATCAGAAAAATATTGTAAATTACTTTACTGCAAAACTTGTTTTCCTATTTCGTTTAAACCTAAATACAAAAACTGTGTTTTTAATAATTGATTTAATAATAACGACATGTAACATTTCATTTACAACAGAACAAGGAGTAATATTAAGCGATCATCAAACGTTCAAACTGAAAATACATATGAATTATGGGATAAGGATGAAAACTTTCACCAATCCAGTCAAGAAATTAATTCTGATGAGGAATCAGAACATGAAAATGATAACAATAATTCAATGCAAAGTATTTAAATTTTTTATTCTCAAAAACGCTGATTACGAATCCGGTGTTAGTTTTACAAAATTCAAAATGGCGGATCCAATATGGCGGATTTTTTAAAAAAATTCATCGGATTCGCTTGAAAATCGGTACTCGGGGGTTTTCAGGGTCGCTGATCACGAATTTAAAAAGTTTTTAAAAAGTTAAAATGGTGGATACAGTATGATGATCATAAAATTTTTTTTTATTGAGTTTCTAAAAACTGACTGCAGATTTCAAATCAGCGACACCAAAAACCCTTAAGTAACGATTTTCAAGCCAACCCAATAATTTTTTTTTTAAAAACCGCCATATTTAATCAGCCATTTTAAATTCTTAAAAACTAATTTCAGATTCGTAATCAGCGACCCCTAAAACCCCCGAATAAAAATTTTCAAGCCAATCCGATAATTTTTTAATTTTGATATCCGACATATTGGATCCGCCATTTTGAATTTTGTAAAACTAACACCGGATTCGTAATCAGCGACCCCGAAAACATAAGGTAGCATACTTGATAGTAGTAAATATCTTCTAGTTTGAAAATTATGATTTTTGGCCAGAAATCGGCGATCCGGGCCCACTGTGATATTGTAGATTTCTTACGATTAGATCATTTAAAAGAAAAAGAGAAGCAACATGTTTTTAAATTAATCGAGAATTATAAAGACAGTTTCTATTTACCAGGAGATGATCTACCTGGTACTGATGCTATTATGCATCGGATCCCCACTATAGATGATATTCCACTTA